AAATAAAGGGGTTTTTTATTATTTATTTTTTTAATTGACAAATAAAACTTGTATTATATAAAGTCTTATTGAAACACAGCCATGCCCATTCTTTTACATATTTTCTATGGCTGCCTTCACACAACAGCAAAGTTGAGACTATATGGTCGAGAAAGCCTAAAAAACATACTATCTGGCCCATTCCAGAGTTTGTCAACCTTTGGTCTATAATAATGTATTTAAAATTTTTCTCCTTAAATGGAACCTTTCTTTCAATTGTACACAGAATGCAAATATATGAATGGTTAGCATCTTCTCCTAGTCACTCTGCCTTCAGATTAAAGATATCTCTTTCTTACCAAATCTTAGGGCTCCTCGCTGTTCTAAAAAGGACTTCATGATCAAACCTAATATCCTAGCAAAAGCAGTGATGGTACACTTATCAAGGAATCTGTCTAGAATGTATGTTTCCCAAAAATATGAAGAAAGTTAATCTTCTGGACCTGAATTAGAGAATATTCAATATCCAAATTCATAAAGTAACCATGGTGGCCCACCCAAAGACAAAAGGCCAATTATAAATGTCAAAATATATTTGCTTTATTAAGGGATTCTATTGAATGGAAGAGTGGTAAGATAATAGACAAAAAGGAGCATGTGAAAATAAATATACTCACACAAATATCTCTAAGAAAGGGTAGAGCCATTACAGTCCACAGAGAACATGTATAACTCAAATGTTTCAAAATACATGTAATTATTAGTCATTATTAAATATATATGTACCTTGTACCAACTGCTTGCCCAGGAAAATGAACACTTTTAAATACGAGTGCAAAAGCACCTTCCTATGGAAGGAAAAAAATGTATTAGTAATGTTTATTATAATCAATTATCAAATGTGAAATGCCTAAAATATACTGGCTTCAGCACAGAAATTTTTTGTTTGCACAGTGCTCTTTTGTACTAGTTTATAAACAAGTCTAAATTTTAGGTAAACACTCCTGAGCTTTGGTATATCCAAGACCCATTTTTTTAACCAAGCCCACTCTCAAAATATGCTCACTGGATAACAGCTCCAAATACAGATCATACATCATATCTCTCATACTATGTATTTGTAGGGGGAAGATAGAATTAGAAAAGATACCAAGCTCAAAATCCAAAACCTATTCTCTGCCCTAGTAATTATATACCACTGTTAATTTCCATTCTTTTTGACCTTGATATGAGAGAGAATATATACACACAATCACAATTATTAACATGTACACCATACCACCCCATCAACCCAACCTCCTCAGGAACAGGGCCTAAAGAAATAAAGAACAGATAAAGGAGGAACATGAGACAGGTGAGGAAAGAGTCACCATAGAACACAAACTGGATTATACAATGGATAGAAGAGAAAGCCTACTAGAATGAAAAGGCTGAGAAGGTACACTACTCTGCCTTGGCTAAAGAGAAGAACAGGCCTCTATATTCTCCATCTTTCTGATCCATTTTGCTAAGATTTGGGCAGGGGTGGGAAGTGAGGGTTGGACCTTAGTAGGGAGGTAAAGGGCTTTTGAATGGGAAAGCTACAGTTATGAGTGGGAGAGGAGGGTGTCAGTATCACTACAGACTTGGACTTCTGTGAATCTTTGATGTCTTTAATCTTTAATTAGGGAAACTGCAATGGGATCACAAAGAATACTGCTTTTCTCTTGGGGAGGGAAATACTTTTCTATTGAGGCACAGGGTCAAGGAAAAGTGCCCAAAAGGAAAAATAAGTAGCTGGCTATGCTGGCTCAGGGACATACAGGCTTTAGCCTAGAATAAAGACTATATTTCACTAAAGCTACTCTTGTGCGAAGTTACTGATTGGGAAGAACACTTGAGGGAGCAGGAAGCAAAGAGTGATGAATCCTCCATGTGTGTACTGTGTACATGTTCATGTGTGGTGTGTAAGGGTTTATATGTGTGTATGCAGTTTTTAGACAAACTTAGATTTTGGATTATTTTTCATTCCCATGATGCTAAACTATAATGAAATAAGTAGAATTTTAAGTAGGGGGAGTCAATAACTGAAACAACTAGTCTCTCTCAAAAGTATACAAGTTGAATAGTTTTTACATTTATATATATGTATATATATTTCACCTATATATGAAATAAAAGCCAAAAATACTCAAGGAATTATCATAGTTTATGCTTATCGAACAATTTTAACAAAGTTTCTTGTGATTAATATTGGCATAATTATCTTTGAAAGCGTGGTTTAATACCAATTGTTGAATAACTCTCTCCACCAAGGTAGTAAAACTGATATCTTGACTTTCCCGATTGTCATACATATACTTAACAAGCTTGGCAATTGTCTCTGTGTCTGTTTCAGATTCAAAGTCATAGCCTTTGCTTTCCTGTAAGTAGAAAGGAAAAAAACTGACACATTTAAGGAAATATTCATAACATTCAAATCTTTTCTACAGAACTGTTCCCTTAAAAACCTAACTAATTTCTAACATTTTTTGAACACCATATCCCATTACCTATTATTCAAAATTTAGGTCACCATGTGAAATATAATGAAATACATAATGCTCACAAAGTTCATAAAAAAATATGATTTGTTTTTTGATGATATTGCACTATCCAATAAAATAGTCATTAGCTATAATGTAGTTATTTAAATTTAATTAAAATTAAACAAAATTTAAAATTAAGTTCCTCAGTCATATTAGCTCAACAGCCACATGTGGACACTGGCTACTGTATTAGACAATACAAAGATACAAAACATCTCCATTATTGCAGGAAGTTTAACTGGACAGCCCAGAGAAGGCACTCATGAAGGTAATTATTATGACCATTTCTACACAGTATATAGCTATTTAGGACACAGAAAC